TGACAGATAAAAAGGCCTCAATCTCGGTCAGATTCACCCGCGCGAGAGCAGCGTTGGATGCGGAGGAGAAGGCGGCTTTAGAGCAAGCGGAGCAGAAAGGGCGCGAGCAGCTGTCCCAGATCGAGAAGAAGATCGCTCACTACCAGCGCGAGATCAGCGAGCTCCAGGCAGCAGCCACTCGCCTGCAGGCCCTAGCGCAGGAGAGGGACTCGCTCGCATTCCTGCAGGTGAGCGATGAGTCTCCAGTGTCGCTATTGGCACAGAGCCATCTCACCAGCAGCAGCAGAGGGAGGCTCCTGAATGAGAGTTCGCATCCACTGGACTTATGAACACAGCTCCACTCATGGACTCGCATCGCAGCTCCAGTAGCTGCCATGTGGAAGCCCAGCTCATATTTTCTCAGTTAAATGAATTCTCTCTCCCGTTCTTTAACATATTCCCATTAAGTTTGTTTCATTGTGAATATAAACTAAATGTTATTGGATTTGCACTTTTTAAATAAATCCTACAACAACAATGTGCACGGTATTCATGATTATCATCAGCCATAATCTATCCACTGATGGATGAAGGCCTCCCCAAAACATTGCCACATCTCACGATGCCGCGATGCAACAATCCACCAGCGCCTGCTCACGACCCGATGTCATCTCCGTTTCCTACTTTGTGTACCTCCACTTGGATGCGCGACCTTCAGTGTTCATATTATGGATGCTAAAATTAATACGTCGCATACGCTATTAATGATATCATTATGTCTTGAACATCACTTCTGCAAGACCTGCACCATGTGCATTAGTAACACCAGAAATTACCAGTCCTAAGTTAATCTCAACACAGATCAATATCAACCGGTCTCACTCTGAAATATTTGCCCTGCAAATCAGTGTTGGTCCTCATGGGGGTGGCGAGATGTTAACTACCTCGCCTGGTAGACCGGAGGTCGTGGATTTAATCTCATCACTGACGTCCTTATATATTTGTAGATTTCATGTCTCCCTCCATGGACGCATGGATTTTTTTCAGGGTCCTCCAGTTTTTCACTCCACATTTGAAAACGTACGTTTAAAGTATTGGGCTGCTATAAATGTCCACGTGGTGAATCACTTCGTTGAGCTATCATTTGTGGCTTCTGAAAAAGAGCTCTATAGCTCCGTGGGACTTAAGTGGAAAATTAATAATAAAGTAGTTATTAGTTGACTATCAAGCGGTCTCCCTCTGAAACATTTGCCCCGTAAGTCAGTGTTGGTGATCATAAGGTCATAAGCCAAGACTTTGGGGTTTATATTCCACCCACGGTGTTGCAGTGGAAACTCCACTGATCACAAGGGATTGGAAGTAGAGTCACAGTAATTCATCTCTCTCTCCCACAGGGGCACCTGGAGGAGACGCGCAGGTAAAAGACGACTTTCACTCACGACTCGACACACGACATGGGACTGAGTGTGGGGCGCAGACAGTGAGACACTGGCTGTGTGGGGATGCTGTGTGTGGTGATGCCGTGTGTGGGGATGCTGTGTGTGGTGATGCTGTGTGCTGATTAGGCTGTGTGCTGTGTGGGGATGCTGTGTGTGATGATGCCATGTGATGGTGATGCCGTGTGGTGGTGATGCTGTGTGTGGTGATGCTGTGTGTGGTGATGCTGTGTGTGGTGATGCTGTGTGTGGTGATGCTGTGTGTGGTGATGCTGTGTGTGGTGATGCTGTGTGTGATGCTGTGTGTTATGAGGCTGTATAATGATGCTGTGTGTGATGATCCTGTGTGGTAATGCTGTGTTGATGCTGTGTGCGTTTATGCTGTGTGTTGATACTGTGTGTGGAAATGTTTTTTTGTGGTAATAGTAATTCTGAGTGGTGATGCTGTAATTGTGGGATGAGTGATGATGCTGTGATGCTTGTCTACGTGGAGCTGTGATGATCTTGTGAGTGACGATGCTCTATGTGAGACAGTGGCCATGTCTGTTCTGCTTTCACAGGACAGGGCGGGCTACAGCAGCTCCACCATCAGCTCCCAGCCAAGAGGACATTGCCTCGCTTCAAGTCCTGGAGACAACTGCAGTCAAACTCCTGTGTGAGTTCTCCAGTGTGAATCATGGGTGATGGGGCCATCTTCACAATAAATGATCACCGTGTGTGTGTGCACGAGGGAAACAAAGGTGACCAGGCGTAGTGCTGTCTACCAAGCCCCCCATGTGCTGTGCCAGCTTTCAAAGGTGCTGATTTTCCCCAACAGTCTGTAAAGGCTACTCGGGGATATATTTCTACTAGGGAGACAAAGGTGGTCGGGCGTGGTGCTGGTCACCCACCTCGTGTGCCATGCCAGCCATCATAGACCTTTACGGACAGCACTTGTCTCAATAGTCTGTGAAGGCTACACAAGGGGTCTTAGTCTTTGTTCACATCCCAATGCAGGACCCTACTGAACAGAGCCATGAGACTCAGTGTGGTGTTCTTGGGTAAATAATCGGCAATAAGTCAGTGGTAATTGTGATGGTGATATGGAGTGTGTGCCTGTGAATGTGTCTAGCATTTGTTCGTGGGGAGAGCGGTAGCACAGTGGTTAGCACACTGCACTACGAACCCAATTACCTGGGTTTGATTACCCGCCATGTCTAATATCAGTAGCAGGTGATATCTTATCCAGTCCAAGGCCTCTACTGGGCAGTTTCAAACTCAAATGAGTTCCTGATGCTGGTAATGGTCATAATGATGGTGATAGTGGTCGTGATGATGGTGGTCCTGATGCTGATGTTAGTGATGTGAGTGATGGGAATGGTGATAGCATTGGTGATGGTGTTGGTTGTGGTGATGTCAGTGACGGTCGTGGTGATGGTATTGATGGTGACATTGGCGATAATATAGGTGGTGAAGGTTGTGATGGTTTTGCTGATCGCGCTGATGGTAGTAGAGGTGATATTGGTTATGGTGGTCATGGTAGTGATGGTGGTGATGATGATTTTTATGGTCGTTGTGATGGTTATGATGATGGTCGTGTTGGTGATTTTGGTGATAGTGATGAAGATTGTGGTGATGGAAATAGTGGTGATGGTAGTGATGGTGGTGATTGTTTGTGATGGTGCTCGTGGTGGTGATGATGGTTGTGATGTTGCTTATTACTATAGTAATGCTGCTGATGTTCATAGTGTTGATGGTGGTGATGGTGATGTTTATGTTGTTGTCATCGATGATTTTGATGGCAAGGATGCTTGGTGATGTGTATGTTTGTGATGTTATTGCTGATGGTAAAGATAATGATTGGTGATGGTAATGTTGATGGTGGTGATGGTGGATGATGGTGATGACGGTGTTCTGTAGTGATGTTGTCATCGCTGTTGTCACAGACGGACGCTCACCGACTCTGGACACAAACTCTGCTAATAACAGACTCCAGATCTCCTCGGATCTCAGGATGATGACAGCGGTCTATGCCTTCCAGCGTCGCCCCGATCACCCTCACCGGTTTTATGGCTGTGTATAAGCCCTGTGCCGTGAGAGCTTCTCGTCAGGCCACCACTACTGGGAGGTGGACGTGGGGGACGTCCGGTGGTGGCGGGTTGGAGTCGCGTACGGGACGATCCCACGGAAAGGACGTGGTGCTGCACAGCTGCTGGGAGGGAGCGACGCGTCCTGGTGTTTAGAGAAATATGACGACAACTTCTCAGTGGTTCATGGTGGAGTGGAAACTGCACTGTCGGTGAAGGGGGCCCCCTCACTCCGCAGAATCGGGCTTCACCTGCACTGGGAGGGGGGGCTCCTGGAGTTTTACCGCGCCGACTCCATGGAGGTGATCCACGAGGTTCGGCAGAGATTCTTGCAGCCTCTCTACCCTGGGATGTGTGTGAAGTATTGTAATGATCGATTGAAGATCGTGGATCTGAGTCGTGCATCCTGAAGATGAAGAGAGATAGAAACCCAATAAATGGTGGAGAGGGGGATGGTGAGGAGAGGGTGAAGTGAGAGTGAGGGGAAGGTGGAACGGAGGGTGAGGTTAGGTTCAGGTTCAAGTTCATGTATTAGGTGTAGCCCTGTGAGCCATTCGGCTCTTGAATCGGGTGCAACCGCAACAAACAAAAAACCAAAAAAAATAAACAAAAACATCTTAAAGTTACTATATGTGACTGAGTGCAAACAGAAATACAAAAAAGACAGCAAAACATTGCAGAAAAAAATCACCGTACACCAACGCTGTGTGCAAAAATCCCAGTGGGATGCAAGTCAAACAACCAACAACAACCACAAGACAACTTAGATTAAGGCCATCAGTCTAACTCTGTACTACAACAAACAAACATGGCCAAACCAATATACTTTTCTAAATCACCAAAATAAAGCCATGAAAGCAATGAAACAGTGATCATAGAAACTGTGACGGAATTTTCACAATAAATGGCATAAACAACATGTAACCCATCATGGGACCTCCTTTGACAGTACCAAAATATACTAATAGGGGTTTTTCCCCTTTTTTTCTGGCAACAAAACTGACACCTTTTGCAAGGAATCATGCTTACATTAACCACAATACTTGCAGTCAAATGTAAACAAAAAACAATACTCTGATAATTTATGCATTGTCTTTGAAACTGATTGGTCCACACCAGAGACAGCTTTCTTTTGAGCCTAGTCTCATATGGTGTTCGGCACCATATGAGACTAGGCTCCAAAGAAAGCTGTCTCTGGTGTGGACCAATCAGTTTCAAAGACAATGCATAAATTATCAGAGTATTGTTCTGTGTTTGCATTTGACTGCAAGTATTGTGGTTAATGTAAGCATGATTCCTTGCAAAAGGTGTCAGTTTTGTTGCCAGAAAAAAGGGAAAAAACCCTATTAGTATAACATGTAACCCAATAAACGGTAGAGAGGGGGATGGTGAGGAGAGGGTGAAGTGAGGGGAAGGTGGAACGGAGGGTGAGGTTAGGTGAGGGTGAGGGGAGGGTGAGGTGAAAATTGAGGGAAGGGAGAGGTGAGCATGGAGGGGTAGGGTGAGGGGGGAGGGTGAGGTTCAGGTTGGCGTGCGTGAGCAATGTTGCCGGTGCAGTTCAAATCGCAGGTTCGTGTGGCCGCTCCTTTGCCTGCAGTGCGCGCTCACGTCACCACGCCTCTGTTGTATGTGTCGGAATTATGAAATTTTGATGAAAATAATAAAAATGAATAATTTTCCGAAAAATGCGCAAATCGCATTAATTATGATAGTGTGTGTATTAATACGCATGAATTATGATAATGCGTGTGATTATATGCATAAATTATGATAATCACGGAGATAATCGTAGTAATTTATGCGGAGGCTTGCGATTATGTTAATGTGTGCAGTTATGATAATTTGCTTAGTTTCGTTTATCCAGAGTTATCAATCAGGATAACACGATTATCATAGATTCATTTACCGATTATCCTAGTGTGTGTTATAATATTTTAGGTCTCCATTTTCATATCTCATCGCAGGATACAGCTCTTATGAATAAGATGGTTTTGCATGGACTTGGAAAGAACACTCAATATGCTTCTGTGATAACAATTTTATTCTAACAAGCACGCGACATTCTATCATGCAGGTCAAACATTCGTCAATAATTCATGGGCAAGATTATGCAATTAACTAATATGAACGACAAAAACTTATGCAGTTGTGAAATTATGCAATTATGCAATATGAATAACGAAACTCTTATGCATTTGACTAAAATGAATGAATAACCACTTATGCATTTGTGAAATTATGCAATTATGCAATATGAATAACGAAACTCTTATGCATTTGACTAAAATGAATGAATAAACACTTATGCATTTGCGAGACTATGTATTTAGCTAAATTGAATAACTAAAATTCTTATGCATTTGCGATATTATGCACTAACTAATATGAATAACCAAACTCTTATGCATTTGACTAAAATGAATGAATAAACACTTATGCATTTAACGAACTGAATGACTAAAAACACTTCTATCAATTGTAACCTCTACTTTTCCTACCAGGCATCATTAGTTCGCCCATGTATTGATCACAATCGGCGACTGGTCGAGTTTGAAAACAAGCATGACACACTTCATATGGCGGTAATAAAAAGCACTTATTGTATCCCAGAGGCGAAAGTATATGTCAATAGATTCATCGGCAAGTCTAAAATCCTTTTTAACGGAATGTTTGATACAATGGTGGGTGAGGGCGTGTGGGCGCGAGAGCGAATCTGGCTCTGTTTTAATTAACTCTTCGGCGATATTCTGGGACAAAGGAAACTGGTTTGACAAGATTTTCTCTGTGTTTTCTTGAGTCTGTATGTGGGGAGCGATACGACCTCTGTTGTTTGTGCGAGCGGCAGCTGAGACTTTCTCCGCTGTGAGGTGAGCGGCGGCGCTCGTTCAGAAGACTTTGACTCTTTTTCTCCACGGCGGGATGACGAGTCGGTTTGGGTTGATGCTGGTCGATCTGGGTGTCGCTCGTTGTCGCTCGGTGTCGCACGGTGGCGCACGGTGGCGCACGTTCAGCGCAAAGTGGTGCACGGTGGCGCACGGTGGCGCAAGGTGGCGCAAGTTGGCGCTCGTTCAGCGATCTCCGCCTTTCCTGCGGGTTGTTCGCTGGTCGTCACTCTGACGAGGAGCGATGCTTCGTTCGTGGCAGGGTGGACGTTGGCGTCTTTGTTGGCTTCACTCGCAGCTCTGCGACTCAGGGTAGCGATTCTTCTCAGGTGGTGCAGACCTCGGCTTGTAGCTACGCGTCGCTACTCCGCGACCCTCGTCATTCTGAATGACAGGAGCTTCTTCGTTGGCGGTGACGAGGAGAGATGGTTGTCGCCCTGGAGAACTCTGGTGGGGCCTTAGCCCGGAGACGAGATGAGATGTAGGCCGGAGCTCGTGAAGATCTGTGGTGGAGCCGAAGATGGGCTCGTAGCCCGGATGATATCTCTGTGATGGGGGCCAGAGCCCCTGACGAACTGTGATGGAGGCCAGAGCCCCTGTCGATCTGTGATGGAGGCCAGAGCCCCTGTCGATCTGTGATGGAGGCCAGAGCCCCTGTCGATCTGTGATGGAGGCCAGAGCCCCTGTCGATCTGTGATGGAGGCCAGAGCCCCTGTCGATCTCTGATGGAGGCCAGAGCCCCTGTCGATCTGTGATGGAGGCCAGAGCCCCTGTCGATCTGTGATGGAGGCCAGAGCCCCTGTCGATCTGTGATGGAGGCCAGAGCCCCTGTCGATCTCTGTGTTGTATGGATTTTCCTTCGGTTTATATCGGAAAATTCCACTCGGCTTCCCGAGTTGTTCAAAAGCTGTGTCATAAAACCTTCCTGTGGGGGTGGACCATCTGCGTCCGTGTGTGTGTCCGTCCGTGTGTTTCGCGTGCGTGTTTGTCCGTGTGTTTCGCGTGCGTGTTTGTCCGTGTTGTGGGGAGACAAAGGCGGTTGTTTCCACGGTGGGAGCACCCGGCGCATGCGCTTATTTATTCGAAGACGTGTTAATTTCCTTTGAGCCATTGCCCCCTTTATGGGTGTCATTTCCTAGCTTTGTGCCTGCGTGTGGAGATCCTCTCGGAAAGACAAAGGCGGCCGTGTTGCTCGCTTCCCATGGGTTGTTGTGTTTGGTTAATTTTGAGAGCCTTCTCCGCCCTTGATTCCTCTTCTACTTTAATTCCGTACTTATTATTTGACTTCTTGTGATTATTTAATCTGATATCCCGGCTAGGAATTTTGTTTTGGAGCGAAATCGATGCCATAATTATTCTTTGATGCTTCGGCCCGGCCGTGTAGATATTCTTTAAAGGTAAATAATGTCAGTATTTATTAACAATGATGGGTCGCGATTCTGGTTCAGATTGTCGTCTGGTTTTCAATTGGAGTGAGGATGGATACTGTTTGCTTAATCTTTATGGTTAAGTTGGTAACTTGTGTATTTAACATGGTTCAAAGACCCATCTGTGCTTTTTGTCGTCGATGCTGTTTCTTTGTTAAGAATATAATTATCTCTTCCTCCGTGTCTCCTGGTTCTGCAACCCCCCGCCTGCAATTCCCCCCCTCCCTTGTTCCTCTTGTGTGAATTTAGGGGAGTTTATTTTTTTATTACCTTATTGCCCCCCCTTTCATGTCCTCTCTCCTTTGAAATGAGGTATGCGCGCATCTGTGGAAGTGTGGGGGCCTCTGTGGAAGTGTGGGGGCGTGTTCGTTCCCACGTGGCCGCGTCTATTAAAAAAAAAAACGATATTATCTATGTTGGCAGAATAATTCTTAAAAAAAAAATAATATTAAAAAAAAAATAAAAAGGGGGTACATACACAACAGTCCGCCCTTTTGAAAATTATCAGGGGTCGATTTGGCCACTGGCGAATTTTCAAACAAAGTAATGCCCCCTTTTTATGTCATGCATCCCATCAGCCGCCCTTACTCTCGGCGGTTATTTCTTACGACGCGCGTGCACGTATTACAATCTTAACCTGGTTACATCTGAAATAAGCAAAGAAAATAACAACATGTTAACATTGATATTGCGTTACATCGGTTCTCATACATCATAACTCCGGCGAATATTCATTTTTGTTTTTGTTAAATCCTGGTTACATTTGAATTAAGCAAAGAAAATAACACACGTTAACATCGATATTGCGTTACATCGGTTCTCATACATCATAACTCTGACGAACATTCATTTTTGTTTTTGTTAAATCCTGGGAAACGCTAGGTAGCGGTTTCGAACGCATTTATGCGTTACCTTCCTCATGTTGCCTGGTTTACCACTTATCACTTTGATAATTTGATCACGGTTTTCGGGTTCGTTTTTGTAGTTTCCTCTCTCACTCTCTCGCGTCGTGGGAGTGTGTGGTGAAAAATTGTGCTGCACGTAACCAGAATTCGCGCACACGACCCACTTTGACACTTGGTTCGTGGCATTCGCTCTCTCTGCGATTACATGCACATTTGCCGAGTCAGTGTGTCGATTTAATTCTGTCCTTCGTAATGTTGCCCTCTTTGTTTTTACGAGTGTGTTGGATTTCAACACCATTCCCGATACGTCATGGACATTCGTCTCCATTTTAGCACTCCGATCCACATAATTTTTGGTTTCCCTTGGATATTTTCCATTCAAAGGCTCACGCCTGCGCTCCTCAGGGCGTGTCTCTGTGTTCTCTCTTTGTCTCTGCTGTCTGCTATCCACCGTCCGATCACTCTTCCATTCAGCCCTGTCACTTGCAGCCTGCTCAGGGTTTAACACCTCGGCGGGTGGGGCGCGTGTTGGCCGCTCGCTCGCACTCACTGTGGATGGTTCATCACGTATTTGGACCGCATTCTGTGTTATTCCTCTATTCCCTCCTGGTATAGCCGGTGGAGGAATTGGTCGGAATTGGATCGATTGTGTTTGACCTCCCATCCTGCGATTCTCCTGAATGTTCGCATCCATACCTCCGCGGTCTGTGTAACACCTTCCCGCTAGGTGGTTATCTTGCCATCTCTGTGCGTAATTTGAACCTTGCGTGTGTCGTGGGATGGGGTGTTGATATGGTTCTGCTCTGAACCTCTCCCTCCTGCGATTCTCGTACATTTTTAGCCCAGTATTTCTCCCATTTGGGTGCCAAATTTTTCCTGGATTGTTACCTCGCCATCTTTGTGGGTAATTTTGATCTTGTGTGTGTCGTGGCATGGGGTGTTGGTATGGTTCTATTCTGAACCTCCCCCTCCTGCGATTCTCCTGAATGTTCGGCTTTGTGCCGCTCTCATTCTCGTGCCAACCTCTCTCTGGGTTATTTTGCCATGGGTGCGTGCGTTTCTGCTCTGTCCTGCATTGTGGGACTGCTCGGTGATTTTTATTCCTCTCTGAGAGGCTGGGTTCCTCATCCCTCTCCCTGTGTTCTGGATCCGAATTATGATTCTTAGCTCTGTACAACCATGCCATGTACGCCTTGCTCTCTATGCGGCGTAAGGATGCGGTTTCTGGATTCAAAACCATCCTCACCCTTTCTGTAATCTCTGGGCTCAAGGATTCAAAAAACATAATTTTGAACATTTTATCTCCTTCGTGGTATTGATTCACATCGCCTGCATAATACGCTCTTTTAAATTGGACGAGGTAGTCACGTGGATCTTGGTCCATGCCCTGGGTCATCGATTTTACAGCATAAAACCCCTCAGTGAGTGTCGAATATTCTCCAAACTTCCGAATCACTGCCAGGCTCAATTGTTTAAAATCATTTCTAACCTTGTGTGGTAGTGACTTTACCCATGGAATAGATTCTTTATGTAAGGTCCGTTTCAACAAACTCGCTTTTTCATCCCGTCTCCTCAGCCCTCTAATCATTGCCTCCTCTTCTACGGTTGCGATATGTGTGTGGATATCCATAGTCTTATTGTGGGGGTCAAAATCGGGAATTCTGACTAGAGCCTTGTCCATCAATTTAAGGGTTTTACTGGTGAATAGGTATTCCGAAAGTTGATTGCCGACAGCGTCATCATCAAACAAGTTATCATCAGGCAATCTGTCACTTTGGTCTGTGCTGTGTCGCTTGTGTTTAAGTGGTGTGCATTTTCTGTGTGCGCGCCCAGTGCCGTGTCGCTCGTGTTGCCATTTCCCTTCAGTTTTTGCCTCTGCCCTTAGTGTACCATGTCCTGGCGATTTTACTTTAACATTTTTCCTCCCTCTATCTGTGAAGTTGTCAGTCTCACATGTTTTTGTTTGCATATGTATCTCTCCATCCCTTCTCTCGAATTGTGAGGGTTTCCCTTTGTCAATGATTTTTTGTTCGATATCCATAATTTTTGTGCGATCAATCCCTGGACTCTGTCCACGTACCCAAGAGTGTGATTTAATGTCACTTCCATATTTATTCTGTGGATCCACGTCTGTGAGTTTCGCTGGTGTCGCGAGCACTGATTTCTCTCCCGTTTCCTTTCCAAATTTTCCCTCATTCCACAATCCCTGTCTGTATGCCTGTGTGAGAAGGAATGAGTCCTGTCCTGCCTTCTCTGCAGTTTTTGCATCGTGTTCGCCTTCGTTACCTTTTATCCAGTCAATTAGTTTCCCCCGAGGTGTGTTCGTGTTATCGATACAGCTCCCTTCCCATATGTCTCTCTGACTGTACTGCTTTGTAACAGATTGGTCGGTACGTTTAAATACGAGCTCCCGGTATCCCGTAACCCATTCAAAAATTATTCTTAATCCCAGCATCTCAAGGTGTGGCGGGAGTTACTTTGACATTCCCTTTCAGAGTGCATATAAAACAATTATCTCACAGAGTGTAGTCAATTCGACTCGAGCTATCTGTTATTTTCCGATTCAGAGTGCGTACCTCTAACACCATTTATCAGAGGATGCAATTGGTTTGATACGATATTATCTTAATTCCACTGTCTCTGTTTTAACCTGCTATTCTGGGTTTTAACCTTAGAGGGCGTTTTTTTTTGTTTTCCGCCCGTTCACAATTACCATGCAATGTTCGATCCCGATATTCTGGTTAACACGAAGTGGTTCATTCCATCATCCATGCAAAACACTGTCTGTGAGAGATCCCGGACGAGCCACCCATTTTGTTGTATGTGTCGGAATTATGAAATTTTGATGAAAATAATAAAAATGAATAATTTTCCGAAAAATGCGCAAATCGCATTAATTATGATAGTGTGTGTATTAATACGCATGAATTATGATAATGCGTGTGATTATATGCATAAATTATGATAATCACGGAGATAATCGTAGTAATTTATGCGGAGGCTTGCGATTATGTTAATGTGTGCAGTTATGATAATTTGCTTAGTTTCGTTTATCCAGAGTTATCAATCAGGATAACACGATTATCATAGATTCATTTACCGATTATCCTAGTGTGTGTTATAATATTTTAGGTCTCCATTTTCATATCTCATCGCAGGATACAGCTCTTATGAATAAGATGGTTTTGCATGGACTTGGAAAGAACACTCAATATGCTTCTGTGATAACAATTTTATTCTAACAAGCACGCGACATTCTATCATGCAGGTCAAACATTCGTCAATAATTCATGGGCAAGATTATGCAATTAACTAATATGAACGACAAAAACTTATGCAGTTGTGAAATTATGCAATTATGCAATATGAATAACGAAACTCTTATGCATTTGACTAAAATGAATGAATAACCACTTATGCATTTGTGAAATTATGCAATTATGCAATATGAATAACGAAACTCTTATGCATTTGACTAAAATGAATGAATAAACACTTATGCATTTGCGAGACTATGTATTTAGCTAAATTGAATAACTAAAATTCTTATGCATTTGCGATATTATGCACTAACTAATATGAATAACCAAACTCTTATGCATTTGACTAAAATGAATGAATAAACACTTATGCATTTAACGAACTGAATGACTAAAAACACTTCTATCAATTGTAACCTCTACTTTTCCTACCAGGCATCATTAGTTCGCCCATGTATTGATCACAATCGGCGACTGGTCGAGTTTGAAAACAAGCATGACACACTTCATATGGCGGTAATAAAAAGCACTTATTGTATCCCAGAGGCGAAAGTATATGTCAATAGATTCATCGGCAAGTCTAAAATCCTTTTTAACGGAATGTTTGATACAATGGTGGGTGAGGGCGTGTGGGCGCGAGAGCGAATCTGGCTCTGTTTTAATTAACTCTTCGGCGATATTCTGGGACAAAGGAAACTGGTTTGACAAGATTTTCTCTGTGTTTTCTTGAGTCTGTATGTGGGGAGCGATACGACCTCTGTTGTTTGTGCGAGCGGCAGCTGAGACTTTCTCCGCTGTGAGGTGAGCGGCGGCGCTCGTTCAGAAGACTTTGACTCTTTTTCTCCACGGCGGGATGACGAGTCGGTTTGGGTTGATGCTGGTCGATCTGGGTGTCGCTCGTTGTCGCTCGGTGTCGCACGGTGGCGCACGGTGGCGCACGTTCAGCGCAAAGTGGTGCACGGTGGCGCACGGTGGCGCAAGGTGGCGCAAGTTGGCGCTCGTTCAGCGATCTCCGCCTTTCCTGCGGGTTGTTCGCTGGTCGTCACTCTGACGAGGAGCGATGCTTCGTTCGTGGCAGGGTGGACGTTGGCGTCTTTGTTGGCTTCACTCGCAGCTCTGCGACTCAGGGTAGCGATTCTTCTCAGGTGGTGCAGACCTCGGCTTGTAGCTACGCGTCGCTACTCCGCGACCCTCGTCATTCTGAATGACAGGAGCTTCTTCGTTGGCGGTGACGAGGAGAGATGGTTGTCGCCCTGGAGAACTCTGGTGGGGCCTTAGCCCGGAGACGAGATGAGATGTAGGCCGGAGCTCGTGAAGATCTGTGGTGGAGCCGAAGATGGGCTCGTAGCCCGGATGATATCTCTGTGATGGGGGCCAGAGCCCCTGACGAACTGTGATGGAGGCCAGAGCCCCTGTCGATCTGTGATGGAGGCCAGAGCCCCTGTCGATCTGTGATGGAGGCCAGAGCCCCTGTCGATCTGTGATGGAGGCCAGAGCCCCTGTCGATCTGTGATGGAGGCCAGAGCCCCTGTCGATCTCTGATGGAGGCCAGAGCCCCTGTCGATCTGTGATGGAGGCCAGAGCCCCTGTCGATCTGTGATGGAGGCCAGAGCCCCTGTCGATCTGTGATGGAGGCCAGAGCCCCTGTCGATCTCTGTGTTGTATGGATTTTCCTTCGGTTTATATCGGAAAATTCCACTCGGCTTCCCGAGTTGTTCAAAAGCTGTGTCATAAAACCTTCCTGTGGGGGTGGACCATCTGCGTCCGTGTGTGTGTCCGTCCGTGTGTTTCGCGTGCGTGTTTGTCCGTGTGTTTCGCGTGCGTGTTTGTCCGTGTTGTGGGGAGACAAAGGCGGTTGTTTCCACGGTGGGAGCACCCGGCGCATGCGCTTATTTATTCGAAGACGTGTTAATTTCCTTTGAGCCATTGCCCCCTTTATGGGTGTCATTTCCTAGCTTTGTGCCTGCGTGTGGAGATCCTCTCGGAAAGACAAAGGCGGCCGTGTTGCTCGCTTCCCATGGGTTGTTGTGTTTGGTTAATTTTGAGAGCCTTCTCCGCCCTTGATTCCTCTTCTACTTTAATTCCGTACTTATTATTTGACTTCTTGTGATTATTTAATCTGATATCCCGGCTAGGAATTTTGTTTTGGAGCGAAATCGATGCCATAATTATTCTTTGATGCTTCGGCCCGGCCGTGTAGATATTCTTTAAAGGTAAATAATGTCAGTATTTATTAACAATGATGGGTCGCGATTCTGGTTCAGATTGTCGTCTGGTTTTCAATTGGAGTGAGGATGGATACTGTTTGCTTAATCTTTATGGTTAAGTTGGTAACTTGTGTATTTAACATGGTTCAAAGACCCATCTGTGCTTTTTGTCGTCGATGCTGTTTCTTTGTTAAGAATATAATTATCTCTTCCTCCGTGTCTCCTGGTTCTGCAACCCCCCGCCTGCAATTCCCCCCCTCCCTTGTTCCTCTTGTGTGAATTTAGGGGAGTTTATTTTTTTATTACCTTATTGCCCACCCTTTCATGTCCTCTCTCCTTTGAAATGAGGTATGCGCGCATCTGTGGAAGTGTGGGGGCCTCTGTGGAAGTGTGGGGGCGTGTTCGTTCCCACGTGGCCGCGTCTATTAAAAAAAAAACGATATTATCTATGTTGGCAGAATAATTCTTAAAAAAAAAATAATATTAAAAAAAAAATAAAAAGGGGGTACATACACAACACCTCCTCATCCCTGCGATTCACCATCAGCACCATCGTCACCATCACCAACATCATCATCACCCCATCATCATCACTATCAACAACAACAACCGCCATTCGCCACTAAGTGGCGGTGACGTCAGCACGACGCTTGTGCCAGGCCATGTGCACCTTGAGGCTACCACGTGAAGTGTCGAACGCCCGCTGGCAGGAGGTCACGGGGCAGACCCAGCAGGTGCCACGGGTCGACTGACTGAGATGACCGAGATGACTGGCTGATGCACCACCTGTGCCCCCTACTGTACCAACTTGCTGCGCTTTAGCCACCCGGCGCTCCGCTTGTTGTTGTGAGCGTCACTCCTCCGCCCTCCGTTGTTGTTGGAGGGCGACTGCCTCCAACTGCCCAGTAGCGTCCTTCACGAGCCTCCTCCACAGAGGCCGATCTTGACACCGCTGGTTCCAGTCATCGGCAAGTCCACTCAGCTCCACGTCCTTCTGTACCACATCACTCCATATCTTCTCTAGCCCGTGCCGCGCCCATGTAGCCCCCTCGATCCGGCCGAACAAAAGCTGTTTAGGCATGCTGTGGCTGGGCAGGCGGTCTACATGGCCCAGCCAACGCAGCCTTGCCTGCCGTATGAGCTCAACGATGGGGCCTTATCCAGATCTTTCAAGGATTTGTGTGCTCCTCACACAATCCAGCCTGGTTAAACCCAGGATGGATCGTAGGCAGGCCAGCCTAAATATTTACAATTGGCGAAGATGCCCCATTAGGGGGGTCCACGTTTCGCAAGCGTAGAGAAGGAAGGGAATGAATGTGCGCCTTTTGGCGTCATCTGGTTGAACACCATATGAGACTAGGCTCCAAAGAAAGCTATCTCTGGTGTGGACCAATCAGTTTCAAAGACAATGCATAAATTATCAGAGTATTGTTTTTTGTTTGCATTTGACTGCAAGTATTGTGGTTAACGTAAGCATGATTCCTTGCAAAAGGCATCAGTTTTGTAGCCAGAAAAAAGGGGAAAACCCCTATTAGTTTATTTTGGTACTGGCAAAGGAGGTCCCGTGACACTGTTACATTGTTTTTGTAGCTTTATTTTGGTGATTTCGAAAAGGTTCTGGTTTAGCCATATTTGTTTGTTGTAGTACAGAGTTAGACTGATAATCGAAATTGTGTTATGGTTCTTATTGTTTGACTTGAATCCCACTGGGATGTTTACACACAGCGTTGATATACGGTGCTTTATCTCGAAGACTTTGCAGTTTTTTCCTGGATTTTTCTGTTGCACGTAATCACTTTCAAATGTTTCTTGTTCATGTTTTTGTTTGTTGCGATTGCACCCGATTCAAGAGCCGAATGGCTCACAGGACTATTCCTAATCAATGAACTGAACTGAAGTTAGCTCCCACACAGCGTTACGCAACCAATGAAAAGATAATGCCGCTTGACTGATTCGGAGTGAGACCTCTGCTGTTAAACCGGAGCCGGTCATGAGCACACTGCCCAGGTATAGGAAACTCTACACTCTCTCCACAACTGCCCCATCACCAATTGGGAGTTGTGGGGGTGGAGTGTCCGATGGTACAAAATACCCAGGCAGGTGCTTAGTTTTGGTGGGGCTGATGGTAAGGCCCCAACTCCCGGTGGCAAGTTCCAGGTTCAGCATCAGCGCTTCCAACTCCTCCTCTGAGTGAGCAGCATTCACCAGATCATTGGCATACGTAACATGGTTGAGTAATAGGGAGTCATCCCTTGACCGCACCCGGGCATCGATCAGCCTCCCATTATATCTGGACCAGATGGAAATTCCTCCGGTACAGCTATTGAAGGCTTCACGAACTACGTGGTCAAAATAGATGTTAAATAATGTGGGAGCAAGAGGACATCTCTGTCGCATTCCAAGGTGTACAGGAAATGGCTCTGAATCCCGGCCACGTAGTTTTCCTGGGCCCGCTCACCATCATGAAGGTCCTTAATGATCATGAGTAGATGGTCAGGGACTCCGAAAGCATGAAGAACAACCGAGAGCCCAGGCCTACTGATGGTATCATAGGCCTTGACCAGATCAATAAAGCAGAGTTGTAGGTCTTGTTGGAATTCCCTACACCTCTGCTGTAGCAAACGTACAGAAAATATGACATGTGCAGGACCGCCCTTTCCTGAAACGGCATTGGGGCTCCACAAGCCTCTCCTGCCTAGAAAGCCGCGTGCCTAGCAAGGCGATTTTGAATAATCCTTGCCAGGACCTTTCCCGGCACACTAAGTAGTGAGATGCCCCTGTAGTTGTTACAGTCTGTGCGTTCCCCCTTTCCTAAAGAGGGGGACCACCAGGGTATCCTTCCAATCCTGCGGAACCCGTCCAGTGTTCCAGACTATTGTTATGTCATGTAGGGCAGTCTATGCACAAACGCCACCCTCAGCATTTCGGTTGGGAGATCATCTCTGCCTGGTGCCTTTCCTGGTCTCAGACTCTGGATCGCCTTCAGTACTTCCTCAACAGATGGCACCTCAGCAGGCCAGTCGAGCACCACCGCCAGCCTGACACCGTCGTCGTCGTCGGAGGAGAGGAAGCGATCTGGCGCCTGCTGTCTCCTTTCTACCATAGGGAGGTGTCAGATGCTGCCTCCTTGTGCTCCACTGCCCCTTCCCTGCTCCCCACCGGGTGTCCAAGCTGGAAGCGTGGCCAGTTTCTGGGTAGCGCTCTCGTTCCCTGCTGCCTGGAGTTCAAGATCGAAGATGCCTGGGGTCTTCCTCCATTCACCCTCTAGTCTTTGGTGGTGATTGACACTTTGTTTTCTGCATGTGTTTCTAAATTTCAATCACCCGCTTTCCCTATGCAGGTGTATTTTCTTAAGCCACTTATTTGTACCATGTGACATAATACATTACATTACTATACTCTACACTACACTATACAATACACAATACACTACACTACTATAGGCTACTATACACTACACTGTTATACACTACACAATACACTGCTATACACTACGCAATACATTACTGTAGTGACTTGGTACGTCACTACCGTGTGGGCCTACACACACACGCGTGGCGTCACTACCTCGCGCGGGTCCACACTCACACACACATGACGTCACTACGTCTGAATGCGGGAATGACGTCACGGCCGGATCAGGGGGTCTGGAGGCCGTGGGTCAGTACAGCAGGGATTTTGTGAGGCCGTGGCACTCTGCATGAACCCGGCTGGACACGTGACCGGATCAAGGTGGGGGCGATGGGCCCTGGGGGCACCCTGGGGGCCACGTGGTCAGAAGAAGAGCCTTCTCAAGAGTTCCCGAAGGTGGGCGTGGCCGGGGTGTTGCCCGGACAGAGACCGAAACATAGACCGACAGAGACCCATTGAGACCCATACTTAAAACCACAGAGAGATATATTCAGAGATCCATACATAGACCGCCAGAAACCCATACATAGACCCACAGAGTCCCATACTCGGGGACCCATGCAGACCCACAGAGACGCATACTCGGAGACCCTAACACAAAGCCCCATACAGAGACCCACAGAGTCTCATAGTAACCCACAGAGGCCCATACAGACCCACACTGTGATTGTGATTGGTGGTTCATGGTTGTAATTTGTAAGTGCTAATTGTAGGGAGCGTTTGCTTGCGCTGTGTCGCGGCTCACGACCAACATCAGTGGCGAGTGAAATCAGAACCGGGTCCTGTGCCTCCCCTAGGTCGACTCGGACTCAAAATCAGAACCTGGTGCGGTGTGTAAACATCAGCGCTGGGGAGACAAAGGCTGCCGGGCGTGGTGCTGGCCACCCACCCCCTCGTGCCCCACAGTGGCGGCCTTCACAGGCGCTGCTGCTGCTCGCTACTAACAGCTCTTGCTCCTCCAGCCTGGGTGGGCTACACGGGGAGCTTTGTCACATTGTAGAGACATACAAAGCTCCCCCGTGTAGCCTCCAATAGACTCTAGGGGCAAGTGCTGTTCGCGGGTTGTAGCACCTGTGGCACACGAGAGAGTGGGTGGCCAGCACCACGCCCAGCCGCCTTTGTCTCTCCAGTGGCGATGTTCACTACACACCACCGCACCAGGTACTCATTTGAGGCTGAGTCGACCGAGGTGAGGCTCAGGACCAGTTCAGATAATCGTCATCAGTGTTGGCCTTGAGCTAGGATCGAACTCAGTTCGCCGAGTTCTTAGTGCAGCGTGGTAACCACTACACTACCGCTCCCCATTCCGTGTACACACACGCATGGACACACACGTGTACACACACACTGTTCTGCCTCACGGGGTGTGCGCATACAGGCATTTCCTGTTTTGATGCTGAGTTTGGTCACGTGACCAGGAAGTTCCGATTTGACAGTCTTTCAGCCACGAGGCTGGATGCAGCCATTCAAGATGGCGGCACAAATCGCGTCCCAGTGAAGACAGCTGTAATTGTCCATTGTAGGACTTTAAGAAGCATTTTCTGTAAGTTCGTTTATGTTCTTATAATACTGGGAAAGCTGTTATAATGTTAGAATGACCGTTATAATGCTGTGAATGCCTTTATAATTATGTTAAATTGTTATGATAAATACGAGACCTAGTTAACAACGAAGCCTGCAACTTTACTTATTGTGAATGTTACTTGTAATTTAATAAGTCGAGTCAAACTTGTACCCAAGTAACTATATTGCGATCTTGAGAGCAAGGATGACAAAATGTCTCATCCACAGTTAAGTGTTATATGTAGTGCGGTACATTTGGGGTGCAGTGTGAGGAATACACGATGTGCCTTTATGTAACACAGTAGCTTATGCTCTTGTATAGCTATTCACTGGTAATGTAGGTGCCTGGTCCATCCAGGATCTATTGTTGAGAAACATGTTATCTATGACAATGTTATGATGCTGTGGTGTTCATTCATTGTGTTGGTGTTTCCGGGTATTAACAGATGCTGTATCTGTGCTGTTTTCTTACCAGTTTTAACTCGTTCAATTCAATAAATGACGTTTGGAGTCGGACGTTCACCCTGGCTCTGAGCGTTTATTGGATGCGAGGTTAACTACTCAGCTAGCGGTGCAACGTGGCGCACAGCGAGGCGGAGACACACATACACGTGTGCACACACACAGACACGTGTACACACACACAGACATGTGTAAACCACTACCATTGACACCCCCTCTGGCCCTGCTCCCGTG